TGGCAGGCTGTTGTATCATATACTTAAAGTATGGCAGGCTGTTGTATCATATACTTAAAGTATGGCAGGCTGTTGTATCATATACTTAAAGTATTGCAGGGTGTTGTATCATATACGTATTGTATAGCAGGCCGTTGTATCATGTACTTAAAGTATGGCAGGCCATTCTTTCATATAGTTAACCAAGTGTGGCAAGCTATTGTATCATATACTTAATGAATGGCAGGTTGTTGTATTATATAATTAACTATGTATGGCAGGTTGTTAAACCGTATAACGTGGTATGAGAAGCAGTTGTATAATAACTAAAAATATGGCAGGTTGTTGTATCAGATAATCAAAAGATAAACAAAATAAATATTTTTTTTCACTTTGAAAAAAGTTTTTATTTTTCTTTATTTTAACAAACGTGTCTCCAGGTCAGCTCCAGATAAAACCAGTGAGCTCCCAGTTTGTGCCTGACGTTTGTCTCTTGTCTCCGTCCTGCAGCCGTGGCCCAGCGTGTCCAACCTGGCCAAGGACTTCGTGGAGCGGATCCTGACGGTGGACCCGAGCGAGCGGCTGACGGCCGGCCAGGCCCTCAAGCACCCCTGGATTGTCAGCATGGCGGCCTCCTCCTCCATGAAGAACCTGCAGCGCTGCATATCCCAGAACCTCCTGAAGCGGGCCTCCTCCCGCTGCCACAGCACCAAGTCGGCCCAGTCCACACGCTCCAGCCGCTCCACCAAGTCCACCCGGGCCCGCAGGGCCCGCGAGAAGGAGCTGCAGGAGCTGAACCGCCGCTATCAGCAGCAGTACGACTGAGACTCGCAGAGGAGGATGACTCAGCAGAATCTGAACTTCCTGCTGGTCGCTGCTGCCGGCGTTAAAGACCAAAACGGATTCTTGGACTCGGATAAATCCAACCAGGACCTGATCCTGAAGTCACATGACGTGACGTTTCTTCACTCCTCCATCCGTTACTCTGAACTTCCTGTTTGTCCTCTGAACTTCCTGTTTGTCCTCTGAACTTCCTGTTTCATGACGTATTTATTTATTGTCTGTGAGGTCACTGGATGATGACGTCACACAACGTTCTGTTGAACAGAGTTCTGGACACTGAACCTTTTCTTCACGTTTGTTCCTGATTCAGAAGTGCTGTGAATTTCTTCTTTTACCTTTTTTTTACAGTTTGCTAATCAGATTATTCTGCAGCCCGATCACTCCTCCAATCCCCACGTCATTTTCTAAATTTTTTATTCGCTCCGTTTTTTTTTCTGTAACGTTTCTTGAACCGTTTAAAGATTGTGAAGCTCGTTGGACCGTCATGAAGAAAAATATAATGTCAACTCACGACACATTAACCTTAAATACTGCAAATTCTGTTTCTCTAATTTTCATTCTGGTTTTTATTGTTTTAAAATGAGTTTCTTTAAAGTGTTATCATATCAAACCAGCATCAGACCTTCAAAATAAAAGCGGCAGAGACTTGTGACCCAGATTATTGTTATTTGACTTATTAGGGATGTTTGTTTACCTGTAAAGCAGGGCGTATGTTAAAACAAACTTATTAATCTACTATAAACTCCACTACAGTAAAAAAAATTATAATTTAATTATTTAATTTTAGGTCTTCTTGACACCGGTCTGTTGTCAGCTTTAAACAGAACCAGCCTGTTGGAGCGGTCGGGATTGTTTTGGACCTTTGGAGTTCTTCAGACTGGACTCGAGCACAAGCTAAAACTTTAACATTTTTTACCAAGTTAAATCTTTTTGCACCATTTTAAACATATTTCACTTTTTCCTTTAATGTTTTTGGTTTTTCCATTTCAAAATAAAATCTCAAAAGTTTTTTTTTTTTTTTTGCTATTCCTATTTTATAATCTAAATGTAAAATCCAACAAATAAAAAATCCATGGTATTTGATTTTTGCTTCAGCTATCTAAATCCAAAATAAGATATGTTTTTATTTTGTAGAGATGCGATTGAGTCGACAAAGAAGAAGAGATCGTAGCTTAAAGAGTGGATCACTCTGACCATATTCTGCAGAATTTAAAATATTAAATCACTTTTATTCTCAATAAGATCATGAAATCTCAACGAGACGCGTCTTTCTCTAAAAACATTTCAGGCCATGATTTTTGGTTTTTACTTAAGCATTAAAAAAGTAGCATTATTTTATTTTTTGCAATTTTTTTTAATTTGGTTATGAAACGAAACAAAAAATAAAATACCTTATTTGTTTTTCTTTTATTTTGAAAAGGACAAACCAAAGAACGAATCATACAGGGATTGATCCAACAAAACACTTTAAATGTTATTAATGTTTCTTCAAACACTCGACCAGTTTTATTTTGATTAAACTGAGTTTGTAGTAAAAGTTCGGCTCGTCTTCAGCTGTTCTTTCTGCTGCCTGGACGCTTGTTTATAAATTAACGAACCTGGAAATGAGAATTTGCTTGTTTTTAAAAATGTAACTGAGCCCAGTCTGCACACAGATTAATTAATTTCACCACCTCAGTTTATTTCTGCCGTCTCAGATTATTTAGAGATTATTGTAAAGAACGACTCCAACCTGCGTTCTGTCCTCTGACCAGCAGGGGGCGACCTCTGTTTGCAGAAATGACCCACTTTAAAAGAAAACGGGTCAAAAAGAATAACTGAGGTCTGATTTAATGTTTCTCCTGAAACCAGCTTTGATTGAAAAAAATACAAAATAAGAGCCGAACAGCTGTTTTTAATTAAAATCACTTTTAAAACACTTAAAAGCTCGCTCGGGAAATCTGAAATATGTTGTCAAAATAAGTTCTGTTTTTTAAAAGTTGGTCCTCCTCAGTCTTTATGGTGCAGCTTGTTGCACAGTTTAACTTCAAAAACATAAATGTTGAATTTTTTTAATGGTTTTTTTTTTTTGTTCTGGTAAAACCTTCATGTGTGGAGTTCAGTTTATTTTTTATCAGTTTTGTGTTTTTGTACCATTTTTGCCTCCATAAACTGATTTGAAATCAGATTTGTACAGATTAATAGTTGATTTTGTTCAGTTTTTCTCAGACTTGGACAGTTTTTAAAGTCAAACCGAGCCACGTCAGCTGACCTGACCTGTTCTGTTTTGGTCTCTTTGCCTCCTTTTCTTAATTTTTTTAAACCTCTTTTCTTGATTTAGTTCTGCTAAGGCTGGAAAATGTCCAGAAAATAAGAAACAAAAATGTGTTTTTAATCAGAAATGAAGGACTTAAGAAGATATTTGAAGCTAGAAATTTTTATTCTGAGTTACTTGGTTATTAATTCAAGAGTGTAAAAATCTAAAAACAATATTTCAAATATCAGAATAAAATCATTTGGACCTAATTTGGGTACCGTAAGTTGGACTTCGTGTGAAGAACTTGTGCAGAATGTGACCATCTTTTCTAAAACATTTGTTTTTGTGATTTTTATATAAATGTTTTTTAAATGAAGTAGCCTTTTTAACACTGTTAGCTAAAAACAGTTCAACTTGTGCATCAAAATGAATGATATGTTTTTAAACGGTGAGTTGTACGCCAATAAAGCACTCAAACCTGACTCCTTTTCATCTGATTATAAGTTTATTCCTTAACTAGGGTGTAAAGTTAATTTTCAACCTAATTCGTTTATTTGCTTTTAATGTTTTTTTGTTTGTTTATTATTATTATTATTACTATTATTATTATTATTAATATACAGCGGGTAAAATAAGTATTGAACACGTCACCATTTTTCTCAGTAAATATATTACTAGAGGTGCTAATGACATGAAATTTTCACCAGATGTCGGGAAAAAACCCAAGTGATCCATACATACAAAGAAATCAAACCATAAATGTCCAGAAATGAAGTTATTTGTAATAATGTGGAATGGCACAGGGAAAAAGTATTGAACACATGAAAGGGAGGTGTAAAAAGGCATGGAAAGCCAAGACACCAGCTGAACTCTCTCAGTAATTAGAAAGCAAGCCTGCCCCTTGTCAGTGCAAGTTAATATCAGCTGGTTCAGTCCCAAATGATGGCCAGGTATCACACAAGAAACATCTGATGATGGGTAAAAGTAAAGAGCTCTCTCAAGACCTTCACAACCTTATTGTTGCAAAGCATAATGATGGCATCGGTTACAGAAGAATGACTAAACTTCTGAAGGTTCCAGTGAGCACTGTTGGGGCCATAATTCAGAAGTGGAAAGAACATTATTTCACCATAAACCGACCACGACCAGGTGCTCCTCACAAGATTTCTGACAGAGGAGTGAAAAGAATTATCAGAAGAGTTGTCCAAGAGCCAAGGACCACTTGTGGAGAGCTTCAGAAAGACCTGGAATTAGCAGGTACGATTGTTTCAAAGAAAACAATAAGTAATGCACTGAACCACCATGGCCTGTATGCACGCTCACCACGCAAGACTCCACTGCTGAAGAAACAGCATGTTGAAGCTCCTTTAAAGTTTGCTGCACAACATTTAAACAAGCCTGTGTAATACTGGGAGAATATAGTCTGGTCAGATGAGACCAACATTGAACTGTTTGGATGCCAGAATACACATCATGTTTGGAGGTCAAATGGCACTGCACATCAGCCCAAAAACACCATACCAACAGTGAAGTTTGGAGGTGGGAACATCATGGTGTGGGGCTGTTTTTCAGCATATGGTACTGGCAAACTTCAAATAATTGAAGGAAGGATGAGTGGAAAAATGTACAGAGACATTCTTGATAAAAATCTGCTTCCATCTACCAGGATGATGAAGATGAAACGTGGCTGGACATTTCAGCAAGACAATGAGCCCAAACACAAAGCCAAGGAAACTCTCAGTTGGTTTCAGAGAAAGAAACTAAAGCTGCTGGAATGGCCCAGCCAATCACCTGACCTGAATCCAACAGAAAATCTATGGAAAGAACTAAAGATCAGAGTTCATAGAAGAGGTCCACGAAACCTTCAAGATTTGAAGACTGTTTGTGTGGAAGAATGGGCCAAAATCACACCTGAGCAATGCATGCCACTAGTTTCTCCATACAGGAGGCGTCTTGAAGCTGTCATTGACAACAAAGGCTTTTGTACAAAGTATTAGATACATTTCAGTAAGTGTGTTCAATACTTTTTCCCTGTGCCATTCCACATTATTACAAATAACTTCATTTCTGGACATTTATGGTTTGATTTCTTTGTATGTATGGATCACTTGGGTTGTTACCAACATCTGGTGAAAATTTCATGTCATTAGCACCTCTAGTAATATATTTACTGAGAAAAATGGTGACGTGTTCAATACTTATATATTGTTGCTGAATAAAAGGTCAGATGTTTTAATCCTAGATGATACAATAAACATAATCTGGTATTAAATCCTGTTGATGTGGTCGTGGTTAGTGCTTAAATAAAAGCTAAATTAGATACTAAAAGAAGTAAACTTTTATATCTCACTGTAACAGGAATAAAATCAGTCTGTTTGGGTGTTTTTGTTAAAGCACCTGGTGGTAAATGTCGCCACCTGCTGGCAGAAACGCAGCATCGCCTGTTGGCCTGGGTTGCCAGGTTTGTCAAAAAAAGCTGCAAACCCTGTTATCACCCACCACGCCTTTGAAAAGAAAATAATACATTTACACCAAGGATATAGTTGGTATGAAAGTTTGCGGTAAAGATAAATAAAATAAACATATTTAATAGTGTATTTGATTTTTTTAAATTTACAGACATTTCGGAGGGGTTAACGCAAACCTGGCGCCCCTGACCGACCAGACGTCAGTTCTGCGGCTGAACCGTGTAGCGAGTTCTGCAGCTAGCTTCGGTCTTTGGTTAGCTTTTGTTCGGAAGACACCGAACCGGAGACCCAACGGGGACCGATCCCGCATGAGAGAGGGCATCAAATGAAACAGAACCGCAGGAAGTCATAAAACCCGGACCTGTTTATCCGAGCCGGGTGAGTAAACAACACGAACCGCTCGCGAGATGCTGCTAAATAACAAGCTAACGAGCTAACGATTTACATGTGACAAAACAAAGGTTTAAAAACATATTTTCATCTCTGACTGTTTATGTTACCCCGACACTGATGAAGAAATGAAGCTTTTCGGGTCATTTGCAGTTAATAAAATATAAGATTTTATGGCTCGGGTTGATTCTGCTCCACCATATGTGATTGTTGATATTTTGTCTTGTTTATTTTAGCTGTTTCTATAAGCTAAACAATTCTCTAATAAGCAGTTTTTCACTTCTTTGGACACGTGCACATGACGTGTTACACTTTATTAATATGAATTAAAAGGATTAAATGTGTGTTTTTGTTTATTTCATAAGATTATGTAGATTTATCTGGTGAACCTTGAACCTTTAGCTGTTGTAAAGCTTTAGCTTTTAATCTGAAAGCTTTATTTTATCATTAAATATCTGCAGTTAATCTTGGTTTTCACTAAGATGCCCCAGGTTTTCCTCAGGCTGGGTTTGGGAGGTTCTGGGTGATTTGTGGCTCGGTGTCATGTTGACACAAGTGGTCCCAAACCGTCCTTTAACAGCCCAGACCCAAAACCAGATGGACCCTGTTTTTTTTTTTTTTTTACAGCTCAGTTTGTCCCCCAGAGGACTGCTGTTGTCTCTGCCTGGCAGGGGATCCGGCTCCGAGCAGGAACCAGAACCTGATCCTCCTCCTTTTAGACTGGATCAACCAGGAGGGGTTTTAATGATACGTTCCACACCTTCACCACCTCTCTGAGGTGTATTTGTTCTGTAAATACCTGCTGTGTTATGAGGGAGGATTAAAGGACCCGTGGCATCACATTTTTGTAATAAACGTGAATGCATTTTTGGAAAGGTAACATTAAGAAATGAATTACAAAAGAAAAACCACGCTGCTGAGATGAACAGCTGTTGAGATATTTGCATGTGAAGTAACAGGAAGTGATGTCACAGGCGAATGTAAACAGAGTTGCTACAATAGATAAAAAACTCAAACTGTAGAGAATTTATTTCTTTATATTATTTTGAGTTTTTATCAGAGAGAGGAAGAAGAATCAGTTCAGATAATATTTAAAAAAGACCAGAGAGTTCTCTGATGTCACTTCCTGTTTCCCTTCAAAAATTAAATATGTGACATTTTCTGCCAAATTTCTTGAAAACAAGTGTTTTCTTTAACTTATTGTGTTTGCAGTATTTGTGTGTCACAGACACTGAAGTCCTGCAACATTTCATAAAAGTAAAATTTTTATTTTGGAGCCTCGAGTATTTAGGTTTAAACTCTTAAACAGCTAGCTAAGTGTTCCTGATTAGAAGTTATTCTTTGATTATTTCAGGAATAAATGAGGAATAGTTTTGAATGAATTAAAAATTTTCAGATTAAATGAATATTCCAGCTGCAGTTGGTTACAGAGCAGCCTCTGTGAAACGTCTGCAGTAAATAAATAAAAATGTAATTACACCTGTTTGTGTCGAAGAAACTGGAGCACAATGTTGTTTTAATTATTATACGTTTTAACTGGGTCTGACTGAGCAGAGTCTGTAATTAAAACCATTTTTTTATTCTTAACTCGGGCAAAGTTAATCCTAATCTTTTCATTTTCTTTCAGTTCTCAAAACAAAGCGACACATAAGTTTACGTTTATTACCAAGGTCCTGCTGTGATTGGATGATCCTCATCAGCTTCATCACCGGTTTATTCTCACAGTAAGCAGAATTCAGATTGTTTACATGCAGCTCAGGCTGTATCTGTCCTACAGATTAAATATGCTGGATTATCAGCTGTCAGGCAGGAAGCAAACATTTCTACAGTAAATACCAGGGTTACTGCGTCGCTGCGAGTTCACCTGTGAGACGAGATGCTCAGCTAGAAAACAGCTGGATCACAGGCCTGTCCCCCTCCAGCTGTGATGCTAACGGCTGCTCCGTGCACGGCTGTGCACAGGAACGAAATGAAAAACAGAAAACAGCGGCTAAAAGCTTAATCAGCTAAATCTGTAGCTAAAAGGTCATAAACTAAAACTGTAGCTAAAGGTTAAATCAAGAAAAACTGGTTAAAACTTAAAAACAAATATAACTGCAGTTAAAAACAAATATAACTGCAGCTAAAAGCTAAACACAAGTATAACAGTAGCTAAAAGCTAAAAACAAATATAACAGCAGCTAAAAGCTAAATACAAGTATAACAGTAGCTAAAAGCTAAAAACAAATATAACAGCAGCTAAAAGCTAAATACAAGTATAACAGTAGCTAAAAGCTAAAAACAAATATAACAGCAGCTAAAAGATAAATACAAGTATAACAGTAGCTAAAAGCTAAAAAGAAATATAATTGCAGCTAAATGCCAAAAACAAGTATAACAGTAGCTAAAAGCTAAAAACAAATATAATAGCAGCTAAATGCCAAAAACAAGTATAACAGTAGCTAAAAGCTAAAAACTAATATAACAGCAGCTAAAAGCTAAATACAAGTATAACAGTAGCTAAAAGCTAAAAACAAATATAATAGCAGCTAAATGCCAAAAACAAGTATAACAGTAGCTAAAAGCTAAAAACTAATATAAC